TGTCCTTTGTCAGATAAATGTGACGGAAAATGAGACTGATTTTAGAGGAAAATCGAAGAGGAATTCTATATTGAAGGCAATATCTGGTCAATATCCCATGTCTAAGGACACAGAAGAAAACGCAATGTATGCGTAGAGAATCATTCTATGTTGAAAGAAATCAAGAAAGTGAAATGAAAAGAGAAACGTGAGGATAAAGAAAAAAATACGATTTATAAAGAACAGACAACAAAGCGCCAAATTTAACAAGGACGGAAATATTTTAAACATCTCGGGCTAACGTTCTCTGCTGACATGAAAAAGAAAGATTATATTGAGTCAATTGCTAGGTCTGCTGCCTAGAATGTTGGTTCAATGTGTTGTACAAGACAATTTTTCGCTCTAGAATCTATCTTAACATAGTGCCAAGTCTGCCATTCGCCGAGGTTGTGAATATTACAACACGCATTATGTTCCAGTGCTCCTGCAATATATTTAAGCATTCTTGATAAGTTCAAAGAATCTGTGTTGAGTAGAAAGACGACCGACCATCGTTACACTAACGTGTTGCAAAGTGTATCGCACTATGGTATTCATTAGTACTGCATTATTAGTCCATTATTAATCCAATCAGTTCCTTCACTAATCTTTTACTCCAGTTTTTTTCTTTGGTATATTATTAACCAGTACAACGAGCGTTATAACAATTTGGAATTTTATTGGTCCTGGGCTGACATCTCGGCTTCAGTCACTTTCCCGCTGCCGTAATGTAGCTTTCCTGTGCCTTTTCATACTTTCATAGTAATTCTTTTGATGATCTTTGCTCAATCGTACCTAGAATTTATGAATTTAAGCGCAGTACTAGATTGGCAGTTCGGTCTCATTTTACTGTTGAAATGGCTAGATGTAACTGTAACTTATGTGCTAAAAGTTTCTTTTCTGGCGCTTCTCGGCTGTGGAACTCTCTTTTGGTTTCTTGCCTTCCGGCCTAATTTGATATTCAAAGACGTAAATGCAATATCAATCGTTATCTACTGCCTTATTGGTTCGTCTTCTTTTATTGTGCTCTCTTCTTAATAATAATTTTCTTTTTTTTAATTCCTTCACACTCAGTAAATTCTCGTGTCTTAGTGGCTTTATTGCCTCGCTACTGGGTGAAATGATAAAAGAAAGAAAGTAATGTTAAATTTAAGGAGATAATTGGGGAAATAAAAATAAAATAACAGAATATGATGTAAGATCTGAAGAAAGAAAGTATGATAAAATAAAAAAAAAATGAATAGAATGAAATCTGAAATGAAGTTTGCTAGAAAGAAAATTAAAGATATGATTAGGTATTTGCGAAATGGTGCCAGAGACCAATTTTCGAGCTCGGGTCGAGACCAAGTATATAGAATATTGTTTTTTTTCCCCGTGGAGGTCGGTTAAGCTTCACAAGTATGAACGGTTGCTACTGTATGGCTTTTAACAGTACGAAGTTAATTTGTAGTATTGTGGATAATAATTAAGATGATGAAATAAATGTTTTAGAAGTATGAAAAGCTTAATTGAGACGACGGAATAACTAAAAAAAAATTTTAAAAAAGAGGGAAAAACCAAGTAAAAAATGAAATGACGTGAATTAACAAAGAATTATACAAACAAATGAAATTAGAAAGAAAGAAAGAAAGAAAGAAAGAAAGAAAGAAAGAAAGAAAGAAAATATCTAATTTTGAAAAATAACGAAAGAAAGAAAGAAATAAAGAAAGGTATCTAATTTTAAAGAAATAAGGAAAAAATGAATACAAAACACATTGCCCTAGGAGGTTGGGGCTTCAGAAAACGCCAGCTGCACATCTGCAGAAGGATAATACCCCCCCTCCAATGAGTCGTCCTGGTTATGACGATAAACTACATCCGGCAGCAATGTCTGTGATCAGGAGGTTTTTAAGAGCATGGAACCACCTATTAATTGCTGATATTCCCAGGTCCACACTGACACGGGGAGGTAGCACCTGTTTCGATCCCAGCTATGGGTAAATAGTTAACCACTAAACTGGGATCAAAGCACTATGAAAATGTAAAAATAGGTTTTAATGCCAGTAATACATTTTAGGGGAAAATATTACCAGCAATACATTATTATCAGCAATATATTTTTGGAAAAAAATATTACAATCAATACAATTTTGAAAAACTATATCAGGAATAAAAATCTTGTTGGCATTTAATAACCCATTGTGGTTAATATGCCATAAAACTAGCAAATACAAAAATTAGAATTGGAAAGAAAGAAAGAAATGCAAATGGAAAGTAAAAAATGAAGGACAGAAAGAAACAAACCAAAATTGAATCAGGAAAAAAAATGTTGCTTTATTAATGGAGAGAATATAATAACTAGATAGTGGCATAAATATTTACAATTGTATCACTGATGTAGCTGTTAGAGTTCGAGCTTAGGACAAGTTTATAATTTCGAATGCTGAATTATCTTTCTCCCCAGTTGATATAATTTAACTATTTCAATATAAGTTGAATAGATATTGCGAATTAGAAGTGTGAATCAAAAATCAAATAAGAGAAATTATGTAAAGCAATAAAAAACAAAAACAAACTCAAACCTGTTGACCAAGTGTTGGAGAGTTAAGAGAAAGAAGAGAAATTCAAAGAAAAGATCTCTGAGTGCTTTCACAACTGAATCAAAGCGAAAGCGACAAAATTGCACTTAGCCGCTTCAATTTTTTTTGTTTCATGTTTGCCAAATTTTATCCTCAATAAGTGGATGGATTTATTTATTTATTTCTAAATTTGGAACCTGACTAATTCCTTTGTTTATTTCGGTCGTGATTTATGGAAGAATTTCAGGTTTTCTTATGAGTTAGATTCAAAAGAAAAAATATAAATTTGTTTAAAGAATATAATTTTTTTTTTTTAATTTTTCGGGTAATATTTATAGAAGTCACTCGGAGTAGTGCATTTTGCTCTATTTCTTTACTGATGTATCGATGAATTGATCTACAGATGCATATATATGTCGTGAGATAGAAGCTTAGAAACACGGGAGAGATTTTAGGCGAAACGTGGTGATCTGAGCCCTACACATTATCATCAATAAACAGATACTTCGGCATGTTCTACTATTTTAGTCCTTAAACAAAGCTAACATTATACCCAGAAAAATGGCTACCATAATGGAGGTGACGGTTTAGTACATTTGTTCTACAGAATATTATTACTGCCTTGTGAATTCGATTACAAGCGATGTCCCATACGCGAGCGCGCACATACAAACACACATATATATAAAGCTTACATATATATAATACATATATATATATATATATATATATATATATATATATATAAAATGTATATATATATAAATCTAATATATATATGTGTGTATATATATATATATATATATGAAGCTGATATATATATAGATATATATATATATATATATTTGAAACTTATATATGTATATATATATATATTTTTTTATTTATAATATATATATATATATATATATATATATATATATATATATATATATATATATATATTTATGAACCCACAAAAGAAAACAGATTGAAATAAAGACGACGTCATTATATATACCTTGAAGGATTCCCTTTCAGCCAACACTTTTTCAAAATGTGGTGCAAATTGAAGAAAACCACAGACACATTTAAAATATAGAGAATGAGGAGGAGAAATTGTAACACGATTAAAATAATATATATATATATATATATATATATATATATATATATATATATATATATATATATATATATATATATATATATATATGGATAGTGGGTCGGATTGAGAAATCGGCGAATACATCACATTCACTTACATCTTTATAACTTTCGGACAGGTATTAATCATCTTCTTCTCCCTCCATCTTTTGATAAATAGCAAGACAGACTGGCTTCTATAGCCTTGGCAACTGCTCTCGGAGAAGGTCAACTCTGAATTCAAAACCTACAGGTCTCTGTATTCGGCCCTTCAAAAAATGTCGTTGGTTCTGCACAAAGCCTTCACCACTATAATCAAATCTTAAGTGCTGGTGCCTGGGAGGTCGGTTCCTAGGACCTGACTGAACTGCTTGACCCTCACTCGTCTAATACGAGGGGAGAGTTCAATAATACATACACACACACACACACACACACACACACACATATATATATATATATATATATATATATATATATATATATATATATATATATATAAAAAGGCAGGATGTGTGTGTGTGTATGTATGTGCATGTGTGTGTATAACGAATGCAAGGCCGTAATTTTCGATGGATTTGCACCAAAATTTACATGCACATGCTTCAAGTTAGCAGTAAGGCCAAGACCGACTTTGCATTTCCCAACTCCCATCGATAGTGGAAATAATCGATTTTTTTAATGCTTCTACAGCACTTTTCATGTAGTTTGCGGCCATTTTGTACTGGCCAGAGTGAGAGCCTATAGCTGGCTGCCACGAATAGGCAGGAAGATTCTACTGGCCAGCGTGAGAGCCAACAGCTGACTGACACGAATTTTAACTCGCATGCAAAAAAATCGATAGCTACATTCATCACAAGTGGGAAAAATTTAAATCTGCATGGCACTTTACTCCAGTTGGCTCATTCGCTTGCTTAAACTCAACGTTGATTCTTATCCGCAGAACTGGGTTGAGTGTGAAAAAGTATTTGTTGCCAACATCCTTTTTTCATTCGGTTATTCCAGTTATGAGACCTTTTTTTTTAAAGCTGATCGTTTTGTGTTTATTTTGTTTAGTTCTTTTTTCGTAACAGATTTAATGTTTAGTAAAGAGCTTAGAAAAAATTCGCAGTGTTAGATAGGCAAGAAGTAAGGCATGTAGCAACATCAGCACGGCAAAGGGCACTCCTTTAAAGGCAAGGAAGTGTAAAAATATTTTAATCAAGTGATAGCGATTGCCGTATGAATCTTACGATTTTTGAATCAAGCACAGGCAACGCCTGGCCATGCTGCTAGTATATATATATATATATATATATA